CCCTGGTCCAAGGGGTTGAGGGAAGAGGCTTGGCAGTTAAAGGCCTCGAGTCCCTCTTGCCTTTCTCCACCTGAGGAGCCCCCCTGAGGTGCCTTCCTCTCCTCCCTGAAGAGACCGACGCCTTGCCTGGTTCTTGTCGAACTGCTCCCTCTCCGCCTCCAAGCTGTGGCCGCCTCGGCGACTCAGGACCCGGGCCGGCACGTTCTTAATGGTGTTCATGGCCTCGGAAGCCCGCTTCGGGGGGCGTCCGTCCTCCTTGGGCTTCCCTCAGAGAGAGAGAGAGAGCGAGAGCCTTGGCGCCAAAGGCGGAGAGAGACCGAGGCGCTCCGTCCCGCCGAAGGGACTGGCGCAGAGAGCGCCCCCGGCGGAAGGACCGTAGAACGCAACCCCGCCTCCCGGCCACGCCCACGGACCAATCCGCGCCGCCCCCGCTGTCCCCGCAGCCAATCAGAGGGAGGAGGACCCTTTCTCCAAGAGCCATTTCGAGGAGCGGGGTCACATTTTCCCGTCGCTCGGGTCCAGGATGATGGGAGATGCAGTCCGCCCCAGGTTACAAGCACAACCCCTCCTCTCCGCTCTGGTAGTGCTTCCCACACTTTGGTCCTCCGGCTGCTTTTTTATTTATTTATTTATTTATTTATTTATTTATTTATTTGGACTGCAGCACCCAGAAGCCTTAGCCAGCTTGGCCCACGGTCAGGAATGATGGGAGCTGGAGTCCCTGGAAGACACCAGAGTTTGGGAGCCACTGGAATAGAGCGAGCCGGAGCTGTGGACAAGAGTTTGTCTATGGGCCTGAACAGACTGCCAGAAATAATCCAGTTTGAGATCACTTTCACTGTCCTGGCTCAATGCTAGGGAATCATGGGAAATGTAGTTGTTGTTTTTTCCCTGAGATGTTGAGCCTCCTCTGTCAGAGAGGTCTGGGAAAGCCAGAGCAAACTACGATTCCCAGAATGCCCTACCACTGAGCCGGGACAATTCAAAGAGGCCCCAAAGTGGGTTATTTCGGCAGTGCGGATGCAGCCAACGTTCAACGGATGGGGTCCAGGTTTGAAACGGAGCTGATCGCTCTGCACTTGCAATCCCTTGGAGGGATCAGAAAGACTTTGTAACAAGGATTTCAATCAAACTGGCTTCTCAAAGAGAAAGTTTTGAAAAGGATGGGCTGGGATGTGGCATTCTGGGAAATTGGACTGTTGGAAAAGTTTGATCTTTTGGATCGGTCTTTTCACAACCAATCGATTTGAGTGTGAGCTGTCAGCCGCCTTGGGTCCCTATATTGGGAGAAAGGCGGGATATAAGAAAATAAAATAAAATAAAATAAATAATAATAATAATAATAATAATAATATTGTACTAATTTAATTCTGTGGTAATGTATCACTATTCTTTGTTTTTAATGGGGATGGGGTTTGATGTATTCTAATTTTAATATTTGTTAGCCTCCCCAATTGATCTCAGAGGGGCGAGATAAAAATAAATATTATTATTATTATTATTAATTATTATTGTAAATTATTATTACATAATTAGATAGATAGATAAATATTACCGGTATATATTGCAGTATATTATTATTATTATTATTATTATTATTATTATTATTAT